GGATGGAATACTCCCAAACTCATTCTATGAAGCCAGCATAACTCTGATACCAAAACCACGTAAAGACACCACAAATATAGAAAATTACAGACCGATATCCCTCATGAACATTGACGCAAAAATCCTCAACAAAATTTTAGCGAATAGAATTCATCAAAATATCAAAAAAAACAATTCACCACAACCAAGTGGGATTTATACCAGGTATGCAGGGATGGTTCAACATTAGAAAAACAATCAACGTAATCCATCATATAAATAAAACAAAAGACAAGAACCACATGATCTTCTCAGTTGATGCAGAAAAGGCATTCGACAAAGTCCAACACACATTCATGATAAAAACTCTCAAAAAAATAAGAATAGAAGGGAAATTCCTCAGTAAAATTAGGGCATTTATATAAATCTATACTGCAGTAGGAGGGGAGTGAAAATAGGAGGGTGTGTCTGGTGAGGTGGTGTTCGGTAGGGTGATTGGACTGGGGTCTCCAGGAGGTTGGTCATTGCCAGGAGTATTAGTCCAGCTAGAAGTGTGAAACCTGGGATTCCAACCAGTGTCCTCCTGGCTGCAAAGGTCATACTAACACCTCTTTCCTCTCTCCCTGTCTCCATTCCTTCCTGCCTCCCTCCCTCTCTCTCTCCTTCCTTTCCTCTCTGTCAGCCTTCCTGCATTCATTCTTTCATTCCTTTTCTCTCTCTCTTTTTCCCTCCCTAACGTTAAATTTCCTGAGGGTTCCTTGACCTTATTAGACTCAATCCATCCCTGTCCTATTTTTAATATTTTATCAGACAACAATTATGGGAAAGGGGAAGAATTTAGAATCCACTAATGAATTGCCTCTTACCTTTAAAGTAGACATAATTCACCAGCACCATCATGGTGTCCTTACTGAGCTCAGTGACCAAATTCGCAATCTTCCCTTGTGTTTCCTTCTTGACGTGGTCATTGATAAGCTGAGCTGCACCCACTGAGTCACAGAAGTTAGTGTGGAAGAGTTGGGACTCATAGAAGGCCATGGTATGGTTAAGGAATTTTGGAAGAAGCTGCAGCCCCCTGGTCAGGAACAAGGCGTTGCCCATGTGCGTCTCCAGTGTGCCGCTGGCAAGGTTGAGAGTGTGCAGGAGTTGTTGGAAGCCCTGGTGGATGTCAGAGTCGGTCATCTCCGTAAGGTTGAAGCCCAGGCCCTGGAGGATCTGAGTCTGGGTGTGCGCGCGGGCCCCCAGGGAGAGCATGGTCAGGGCAGCAGAGATGCTCAGCGGGGAGAAGAAGATGTTCTTGCCAGGGGACTCGGAGGCCATCACGTGGTAGAGGCGGAGGGCAAAGTCTGTATTGCTGGAGACAATCCTGAGGCTAGGGGAGCCCCAACCTGTGCCCGGCATCTCTTGATGAGAGCTATCAGTGAAATTTCCCTCACTGTGCCCAGGGTGTGGCTGACTCTGAGAAAGGGCCAGTGGTGTAGCCAGAAGGAGGAGCAGGCGGACAGCGAGATGCATCTTCTCCGCTTTCACTCTATGGGAGGACAGAGTGCCCAGGAGATTCCCCCGCAGAGCAGATTAATCTCACCCTACAGAGAAGATGGGAAGGGGCAGGTCCCCAGATAGCAAATGGCACCATGCACTCCTGCAGATGGGCTGGTACAGGACAAACCAGCCCCCAGCACCGTCCCTGTGTATGCTGATGACAGTACATTTTATGGCACTGCTTTAGAGTCTGCAAATCGTGCTTGTGTCCCCCTCTCTGTGGGCTCCACACCCTCTATACTCTGTTCTCATCTCAGAGACTAGGACATGGAGGCTCTGGAAGTGATGGAGCCAAGGCCACCCAACTCGCCAGTGTTCGAGCTAGAACGCAGGTCTGCAGACTGCCCCCTGGAGTTAATTTAATTCATCCAGTGACATTACACCTGGTGTGCTTATCGCTGAAG